ATAGAAAGTCTAAACTTAGTAATTAGCTTCTTAAAGTAAATAATTATAAAGACTATATTATCTAAGTACTTAGAAGCTAGAGTACTTATTTTTTAGCTAGATTACTTAATCTTCTTATATAAGCTACTTTACTTCTTTTTATAATAGTACTTTTAAATCTTTTACTTATCTTAAGCTAAGAGTTCTATTAGTAAAACGCCTAAAGGTTTAGATCTAGTAATTATAGTCTATAATTAGAAATATAAAATAGGCTTTTACTTATACTTTATATTAGATTTATAAAGATAAGGCTTAAGTAGTAAGCTTAACTACTTTTTACTTAACTTAGTAAAAGTAGAAAGTTAACTTATAATAGTATTAAAGATTATATTAGCTTTTTTTTTTCTAGTAGTAATTAATATCTTTTAGAGAATAATACTAAATATCTTACTAAGATTACTAAGGCTTAATATATTCTTTCTAAGAGCTATAGTAAATAATTAATTATATTACTACTAGTAGGTCTACTTAGAATTAAACTTCTTAATTATAGTAAAAAAGTTAGTAATTATAAAAGGTTCTTTAACTTCTAAGAGCTTATAGATCTTTACTTTTTAGTAGAGTATTAACTAGTTAGTAAACTACTTTTTAGTAGTACTTTTCTAAATCTTTTTAAAATAAGTATAATACTTTATATAAACTATATATTATATAGTCTAATTTATAAAAGTAAGTATAGTCTTAAAAGTCTTTATAAAAGACTAGACTATTCTTTTATTATTACTTATAGTTATAAGTAATAAGTAATTTAGTGTAATAGTACGTATAATTTAGTTCTTAATATTATTAATCTTTTTACTCTTTTTTAACTACTACTTAGACTTATAGTTTTAGTAAGCTATAAGCGTAGAACTATTTTTAGTCTTATAGTTATAATCTTATAAGAAAGTATTATACTTATAAGTAGCTTTATTATACTTATTTTTTTAATTCTTAGTTAGCTTTATAGAGAGAGAAGCTAGAGCTATAAACTCTAAAATTAAAAGATTAAAAAACTTAGACTTTTAAGTATCTATATATTTAATATCTAAAAGATTAGAATTAATCTTTTTCTAGATACTTTTCTTATTATAGTATTACTTAAAAAGCGTAAACTAAGTATTCTAGTTAGATTACTTTTTAAGAAGTATACTTATAGCTATAATAGCTATATTATAATTACTTATATTTATAGAGTTAAAGTATAAAATTAATATAAAGATATAAAGAGGTAAGTAGTAAGTAAGTAATTATGTAAAAGAAGTTCTAATTATAAAACGTTTAGAGAAAGTAGAGTAGAAATAAGATTAACTAATTTATCTTCTAGTAAGCTTTAATACGTAGTAGAAATTAGTTTTATAATTAAGTAGCTAGGCTTATAACTATTAGAGCTAGAGATAATTAATAATTAGAAATAATTAAGTATATTATAATTAATCTACTATAAAAGAGAATTAGAATAAAATTTCTAGCTATATACCTAAGAGCTAAGTAATTACATATCTATAATTAAGTAATTATAACTACTCTCTAACTTTAATACTTCTATAATATAGTAAGTAGTAATAGTAATAGTAAGCTATGTATTATTATAAATACTTTCTTATCTAGTAATATAGCTTAGAGGTAATAAAAAAGCACTAGTAACTAACTATTAGTTTTAATAATAGAATAAGGTTACTATTAAAGTTATCTAGGTACTCTATAGATAGTTAAAGTTAGAAAGAGTATTTATCTAGTATAATTTACTTAATTATATAGCTCTATATATATATACTAGTAGTTCTATAATAATTAACTATTAGTTTTACTTACTATATATTTTTTATTATTCTTAGATATCTATAGTACTTATTTAATACTACTCTTTATATAATACTATTCTTTAGTAACTAATATAAAGCATTTCTATAAATAGTCTTCTACTTTACTACTAAAAGTAACTCTTTAACTAGAAACGCTATAGTTTTATAAGTATAAATTCTTTTCTTCTTTAACTCTTAATAGTAGTAAACTAATCTAAAAGACTAAAGAACTTATCTTAAATTTACTTCTAATTTACTAAGCTTTAGTAAGTCTATTAAAGCTCTACCTATACTTACTAGAGCTAACCTAAGTTCTAATTATTAGTTTATATTTATTTAGCTTTATAAATAGATATATTATATAGTAGACTATCTATAGATTCTTACTATCTCTTAATATACTAAGCTCTTTTCTATAGTTATTTATATAGATACTCTTAGATATACTCTATTTCTAAAGTAATCTAATAATATACTTATAGTTTTCTAGTACTAGTGTAGGCGTCTATATTAGTAATAGCTCTAGAAACTTCTATTTAGAAGATTTGTATAGATTAAATCTAAGCTAGTATTATAGATTATATAGCTTCTTAATCTATATAAAGTTTAAACTATATATAATAGTTACTTCTAAGCTTAATAAGTATAGTAAACGTAATTTATATTACTTTATAGTATAGATATATTAGTTACTTTCTACTTAATAGATATACCTAGATACTAGTGCTAGATATATCTCTAAGGTAAAGAGCTATAGTAATAAAATCTAAGTATAGAATAAAATACTAATCTTTTATTTAATCTTTCTTAGAAAGTTATACTAAGTAACCTTAAAAGAAGTCTAATAGTAAGTACTATCTACTTATAATAAATACTAAGGTAATTTTTATACTAATATAGTTATAATAAGACCTCTACGTAAGATATAGAAAATTACTTTTTTATACTACGTTAGATTTATTTTAGTAATAGTAGACTATTTCTTTAGTAGTAGATAAAGTAAATATAAGTATAGTAAGAATCTTACTATAAAATAGATCTATTATTAATAACTAATAAGAGTATCTAGAGAAGAGAGAAAAGTACTCTTTAAACTAATTTAGATAAATAGTTTAGTTAGTATCTAAGATATAGTTATTTCTTTTAGATATTTATATAGTCTTAGATATATCTATAAGTAAAAGTCTACTTAAGATATTACTACTCTATTAATATTTATATTATTCTCTAGCTTTATTATATACTAATTTTACTTCTACTTTTCTAAAGAGCCTAATTACACTTTCTAGTTAGATAAGAATATTACTTAGTAATACACTATTCTTTACACTACTCTTTTTAGTATAAAACTTAATATACTAAATCTTCTAGTATAGAAAATATAACTCTTAATCTAGTAGCTCTTATAACTAGTTATAAACTTACTTTAAATAATTATAAAGACTTATAGTATCTACTTAGTTATAGTCTATCTTTTTAGAATTAATACTATTTATAAACTTTAGAGTTAGCTCTAGCGTATTTAGCGCTACTTTATAGTAGATAGTAATATCTTACTAGTATTTATTTATATACTTTTAATATAGTTTAATAGTTATATATCTATAAGTATCTAGACGTAGTAATTATATTTATATAGAGAAAGATTTATATAGTCTATTAGCTATAAGAAACTCTAGTATATTTATAAAAATAATATAATTAAGGTAATAGTATATAATACTCTTAATATTTAATATATATCTAATTTAAATACTACTAAAAGCTAAAGGTAGAAAGTAGAATATATTAGTAATATCTTAAATAAGAGAGAGAAGTTTATATAAATAGAGTATAGTATTAGTAATAACTAGAACGTAATTATAATTAGAAATATCTACTATAATAATAGTAGAAAAGTCTAAAAATATTCTAGATATAGAAGTTAGAAGAATTATAAGTATAAAAGTTTAATATATTAGTATTTATAGGCTTCTTTGTTAGAAGGTAGTTTACGTATTAAGTTAAACGCTAATATAATTAGGTCTGCTTGTTGCTATTAGTCTAAAATTCTAGTTATTTACTATTTAAGACTATACCTTAGAAGATTATATTTAAGACGTTGTAGAATGTAATAGCGACTACGAGTAGTTAGAACATTACTCGCTAGCTTATAGAAGCAGTTGCGTTGCTAGATCTAGGTATGCCCCAACGTGCATTCAAATTAACGTTCACTAGCGATATAAACCCATCGCTCGCGTCCCAGATCTTCAAGGTTGCCCTAAAAGATGCAGCCTAGCAAGATGCGCTCGAAAAGTGTACATGGGCCACTCAGTATAGTCATCTCGAACCAGCCACCGTCCGAACATGCCAGGCTTTCATCATAGCTGGATTTCCGCAAGCCATGCAGAACATCGCCAGCAGAACATCACTTGCCAGGTGCAATTTCCCCATCGGAAGGCTGCCTAGCAAGAGAGAAGTGCCGACGAGCCATGTGCACTAGTCATTGACTAAGTAGAAGACGCAATAGAATGCTAGGCGTAAAAAGATCAACAGTCAGTGGCCGTCATCTATAGCAGTCCTCGATCTGACATTCGTATCAAACACGCAGGCATCCCAAACACCGAACTACCCAATTATCACCGGTGTGCCGGGGTATCCGAACGACTATATACTAGTAGAAATTCCGGTGACACCCCTGGGGTTCGGCGGTATTGAGGACGCTGAGGATATGCAGGAGACTGAATGATTCGACGTAGGATACGAGAGTGTGGAATTGAAAGACGAGAGAGTGGAAATTGCGCGAGAGAAGGACGCGAAGTGATAATGGAACAGGGACAGCTAATGGATGCGATGAATGAGGGCAATGGAAGGGATCATTAGTTAATGGGATGAGACTCGGCGTGGTGTGTTTGAAAAGGTATTTCACATGGTATTGTTGTTGGCTCGGCTCGAGAGATCACAAGTACTCGTAGCTTAACAAGAGCCAACGCCCGAGAGGCGTACTGAAGAACGACCCAATGATAGAGAAGGTTTGATACATGAAGTTTGAGTTGTTACTCAGAGTCATCTCTACAATCGTAATTCTTGCATGGTACGCTATGAGCATTGGAAAGCCTACTGAGCCTCGCCTAGAGACTGCAGACAGCGAATCTTACTCCATACAAATCCGACATAGACTAAAGGACATGCTGGCACTCAATCGCTGCCTGTGCGTCCCAGGAGTTTCTCTTGCCGAATCTCAAGCCAGCTTGGCAATGGCGCCACAGTATGAATGTCGGCTTGAAGTTGTGCGGTAGAATGCCAATTTTTCCGCCATTCTATCAATGTCCACGTACGTCCTTGTGCAACAATTTGGTCCACATCGTGTGCGTAGCCAGTGTCGAAGTTGCATCTAACCAGGGACTTCCCGGAACATATCTCTTGCAAAGCCTCTGGAAAGCCCCTCATGATGAATGCAGCATTCTCTCGAACCATTATCCAGTTAAGTTGGCATGACTGTGAATCAGGAGTTTTGACGCACTGCTGATACGCGGATTGCCATGCGGCGTCTCGTTGTAGGACATTGAAGACTTGCGCCGAGGTCTCAGGCGTCGGCATCCCGTCTATGACTAGGTTGAAGGCACCTGCCGGCATGCCTAGAGACGCAAGTGCCAGCGCTTCCATTATCCAGGCAGCAACCCCGTTGTCGCCCCAGTGTCCCCGACTGATCATGTTCGCCGTCAAGCGGTCGAGTTTCCATTGTTGCATATCTTCGAGTGTTTGCGACTGCAATTCGCACAGCGACATTGATGCGGCAGGTAGGATGGTTCTCCAAAGGCTGATTCGACGTTCTATATGCAAGTCAGAATTCCCTTGGCAGAATGGTATCAAGCCCTGACCATGGCACTCAGGCCATGCGACAGACTCAAGATCTTCGTGTAGCACTAGATTGCGCAATGCCAGTCGCGTTTCAACCGGCATAGATTCTAGGAAGCGGATGGCTGCAGTCGCTGCCGAGAACCTATATTGTTCTTGATCCCAATATAGCCACGGTTTGGGATAGCTGGCCTCGACGGATACAGGTTCTATGAGCTCGAGCATATCGGAAATGTCGTCCTCACTTGGGAACATCCATGGTGAATGACTGTGTCTTACCACAGGCACCGGATCGGGACTTGCCGTGTAGGCGGTCCCCTTCCAATGTGGCTCCCGACTGACGGCGTCTTCGAAATCGGGTTTTGCGGCAATGGCTTCCAATGTGGACGCGATGAATTGTCGGGTTTGTGACGGGATCTCCTTCCATTCATCGACGTTGCGACCGATTCCAGTGCGTCCAAAACACTGCATTGTCTGAATGGTGGGCAAGAACGCCGAATGGTGTTTTCCCACGTAGTCGCATATTGCGCTATCGATGAGGCCAGATAGCGGAGCGTGCCATAGTAGGTATTTTGCCTTGAGTTCGCTGATGATTATCTGGATCGCGTTGAATCGGCCCGCCCGTTGGCGGAGGTTCTCGTCGCACACGGTTGAGAAGTTGATCGGATTCAGGTTAAGACCAAGGCCACGGGTCTCAGCTGCCACCTGACGGCATGTAAGCCTAATACCGAGGTCAATAATCTCGGCCTGCGCTGCAAGCAGCTTGTTCGTTTGGAGGTTGTAATGATAACCCCCTTCAAGTGTGAAGTAGTCTTCGTAAATTTGGTCGCGCAGTTCGCGGGGAAGCTTGAGGAAGCCCTGCGGTTCGGCCATGTCGTCAATGAGCAAGCGGCGGATTGGGGGGTAGAGAAGGATATGAGGACAGAAGATGAGTCAAGGGCGACAAAGCTGCGACTTTGTACCTGGGCGGCGGTAGGCAACGCTCCCTGCACGTGACTTTGAAGGCGCAGACTTGCTCTTTGCGGTAGAAAGTGCGGATACTTCGTACCTATGGTACTAGGAATGGACCTATGGCCGCAGTCTTATTCTCATACTCCCAGGCGGTAGCGGAGGAGGTGCAGCGACTAACAGTTCGGGAAACACAACCCGGGAACCGAAAAAAGGCAGTAGCTCGCACCAATGATAGTATGCCCCAGAGCTTCCGGAGCCTCACGTGGTAGCAGATACGCGGCAGTTCTGTAAAACCGCCTTCGTCGATTTTGCTGGCGCGGCCTCAAAGAAGGAGAGGCATTGAACCGTCATCGAGGATAAGGATTGCGATAATCGCCGGTTCATGAAGTGCCAAGACGCTAGCCACCGAGGTAGCTAGCTCAGGATTACCCCTATATTCGCGCGTCGCGATCGCGCCGAATGGCCGCCACCTATGGAAAACAAAGTTAAGAAGGCTATATTGCCTTGACATTTTACAAAAACCTATTCTAAAACTGATGTAGGCTGCAAGACACCCATTGACTCTCCCTCTCAAAGGGATGCCGCGATCGCTTTCCGGTGACCCACGTTCGAGAGCTTTGTATTCTTTACATTCGTGACAATCAGTTCACGGCAGTCATGCAAGGTCTTTCTGCTAAAAGTCACTGACATTCAGCATTTGGATGCGGTCTCGTGGCTGGTGAGTTACACGAAGACGTCTATTGCAGTACTAACACTAATGGTTTGACGCCCCGTTCTTGTATATCATCAGCGATATAACTCAAATTCGCCCTCTACGTATTGGGTAGTCATCCTATACATTACCACAGCTTGCGATTGTCACCTAAAAACCAAATGAATGCGGAATGAGATGCTCGCGCCTTTTTGCGCAATGCTGTTACCCACGAGGCCCGAACCTACACTCCAACGACCTCCTTTGTATGTTTAGCGAAGCTCTCGGTCGCTGATAAGTTCACACAAATCCCACCGAGGCAAAACTCCATCTTCATGGCGCCTGAGCATCAAAGGTACGAGGTTCGTGCTTACTCCATTGCTCCTCCCATTCCTTCATTGACCATCCCTGAGCAGCCTGTCTTATGGAAGACGAGTGATCGAAACTAGCGAGACTGAAGTTACAGCTCACGATGGACGTATCGTCAGCAATCGCAGCGAGAGCTTCCGGAAATCCTCTCATCTGGTAGCCGGCGTTGCGCCTCGTTTCGAACCAGCTCATCTTGTTGTGATGATCTGCGCGATGCTCTTCGAATACCGTCTGCCATGCAGCATCTCGTTGCACGATCTTGAACACTTCGGCGCTCCTCGCAGGTATTGGCTGCCCGTTGAACACCAACTTGAAGCATTGAGGTGGCATGCCTAGATCGTCAAGGGCAAGCGCCTCCATGATCCATGGTGCTAAGCACGATCTGGTGATATACTCGGCACGCAGCGGACGCAAACGACCTTGGCCACAATAAAAGCCGTTCATTCTGGAAGCACCGGCAGGAAGCGCGTTTCTCCACAAATCCACCCGTCGTTCTATTCGAAGTGCTCCATTCTCTTGACAGTAGGGAAGCAAGCCTTGGACATGGCACTCGGGCCAAGCAGCAGCCACGTGGTTCTCATCCAAGAGCACGCGACGAAAGCGGCATCGTATAGATGCAGGCATTGACGAGAAGAAGCGGATTGCGGCCGATGCCGCGGAGAAACTGTATTTAGTTCGTTGCAGGCTTTGGAGAAGGTGTAAGTTATGCTGCAGACTGCGCCTGATATCAGCTATCTCGTTGCTGTCCGGTATAAGCCAAGGTGAATGTTGCAGTGAGACAACCTCAATGGTTTTGTGGTTCGAGCCTTCCATGTTCCAATCAGCATCTTCAAGAAGGGCCTCTAAAACCCGTATGACGAATCGGCGATAGAGCGACGGAGCTTCACCCCAGGAGTCATCGGCAAGACCATCGACACTGATCACTCCCATGCCGCGAAGTTGTCTGATGACGGGTAGGAATTGTGGAAAGTCTGCCTCCAATTTGTTGCAGCTGTCTTGGTCGATGCATCCACGGAACGCTCGTAGTAGGCGTGACCTGCTGCCTTCATCCCTAAGCTGCATGTAGTGATACTGTCCTGCATGATCTGATGTAGCTTCGTTGTAAAATGTAGAGAACTTGACGGTGTTGAGGGTGAATATGAGGCCGTGCATTTCTGCAGCAGCAAATTTGCAGGTATACAAAAACTCAAGGTCGATGAGAGTGCCGTCCATCTCGGTCAGTCTGTTCGTCTCATACCGGTAATGATACCCGCCCGGAGCTGTAAGGTAGTAGCCATACACTAGATTGCGCAGTTCGGAGGGAAGTGAGAACAGTTTGGACTGCGACTGTCGGTTGGGGACGGAAACGTCATCCATCGTACGCGGCGGACTGGGTATGGGGTGCCGCGGTATTGAGAGATGTAATGCAGGGTATATGGGTATTCTTGAGGGTTGTATTTGCGAAGTTTAAAGGAAAAGATTTTTGAGGGTTCGTGTCAATTGGTAGGAGAATGCTTTAAGTAGGTAGTACCTTCCTCATCTTTGGGAAGGCAATCCATGGTACTGCGGTGACGCGACGCCGAGCGACTCACAACTTCCGAAATCCATATGTACCCATCCAATCAGGTCCTCTCGAAAAGGGAAGTATCGTCCACACAAGAGCTTGGGAAGGCAACGACCCAGTCACGTGAGTCGCAGCCTAGGTAGCGCATGATCTCACCAACGAAGTAATGTACCCTCATCCTAAATACCACACTGCAAACGAGCGAAGAGACCCAATACATATGTATACACCTACAACAAGAACGTAAAGTATTCACAATACGCTATGTACGTAGATCGCGCTCAAGCCTTTCCAGCAAACGGGTTCATCCTGGTCGCATCCCGGGTAGCGGTCAGCTCCAAGCCGGGACAATTAAACCTTAGCATCGCCTATGTAAGCGCCGACGATGATGGTAGCTTTGAGATCTGAATTGCGCGATTCAGATATTCCATGCTTACACGCGTACGCTCCACAAGAGCGGGTTTGTAAATGCGATGTACGATGTGCGATTACTCAACCATGTGTGTACCTGGATATAGAGCCCGGGTGGCTCGGCCATCATCGTGGACCGCGCGAGAACGTACAGCGCTTACACGCCTTCTCAAGCGCTAACGTCTGGCTCGAGCTAATTGCTATGTTGATGCACATGTCATAAGCTATAGGTTAGGAAAGTTTAGGGCCGGCTTACCAGCAAGTTCGCTATTCTATTACTCATTCTTTTCTTGACTATCCTTTTCATCCAAAGCCCACGTTCGAGACGCGGATATCCAATCCTGCATCCTCTGTCAAACGACACACCAGCTTCAACGATGGGCCCAAGACTTGGTCCCATAACAGTCGCACTAGCTGCTCTCACCAATCTAACATCATCGGCCTCCGCACTCCCCTTCGGTGTACAAATCTACTCATGTACAACGCCCGGAGTCATCGCACCCGCTTTCGACGACGGACCAGGGGTTTACTCTGCCGACATCCTCGACCGGTATTATCCCATCTCTAAGACCACATGGTCTGCGTCCATGTCTCACGCTGACATATTCATCCAGGATGGAAGTTGCGGGCTTCAAAGCCACATGGTTCATCAACGGGGAGAACAGGGGCACAATATACGATCACAACGCGACGCTACGCCGGATGGTCGATATGGGTCACCAGATTGGGTCGCATACGTAAGCGACCACCTTATATACTTCTTCATTCCACCAACTGGTCACTCATACCCAGAAGAAACCACACAACTAATCTCTCGTCTCAATATCTAGATGGAGTCACGCGAACCTCTCTTCCCTCACCCCCACCGCCATACGCAGCGAAATGACAAACCTCGAAGACGCCATGCTGGATATCCTAGGCTTCTTCCCGTATTACATGCGCCCGCCCTTGCTCTCCGTGAACAGCCAGGCACTGCATGTGCTGCAAGAACTCGAATACCACGTCATTATCGGGGATCTGAATACCAAAGACTGGAAGTATCAGACCAAGGAAACGGTTGGGGAGGCGAAGCGGCTTTTTGTGGAGGGATTGGAGAGGGGGTATAGTATTGTTGAGGCGCATGACCAGGAACTTTGGACGCAGGGTGAGTTGATTGATTATATGATTGCTGTTGTGAGGGAGAGGGGGATTCAGAGTAAGTTTGCAACTCTATCCTCATGCATCTGCGAATGCCCTTGGACTGATGAATGACCTGTAGCTGTTACCGTCGCGGAATGTCTCGGCGTACCCGAGCCTTCGCAATGGTACCGTACAGCCCGCCTGCCATATCCTCTCACCAGATCCGAACTCAGCTGCCAAACACCCTTCGCAAAGTGCGACACCGCGGACGACAGCATTCCATGGGAGAGAATTACCCCAGATCTGACGTGTGGGAATGTGAAAAAAGGGAAATGGAAGGGGTATATCTGCCGGATGGGCCAGTGTTGTAGTAGGCATGGCAATTGTGGTATTACAGAAGATTATTGCGCGGTAGACAGAGGATGTCAAGAGGAGTTTGGTATTTGTAGAGGTTGAGAAAGTAACTATGCATAGCGTTCATCTGAACGCACAATCTTCATCTGTATCCCCTAGCCCGTTGGCTGGGGAGCTTTGATAGCCGGAGGGTGATTCAGGGAGTTGTCGGATCCAGCCGTCAACATCCCGAGCGGGCACGCCATCTGCATCCTCGTCGTCGTCGTCGTCGTCGTCGTCATCGAAAGCTTCGTCGCGCCAACCAGCTACGCCAGATATCGCGAGGATACGCTGAAGGTGCCACTGCAAAGTGAGCAGGCCTAGAAATGAGTTACGAAGTCAGTGTATGTTTCACATGCGTTTTGTTCAGACACCTTATACAGGGGTAAATCTGAACAGGTCTGCAGCCTACATCAACGTGAAAACTTGCGAAGTGGGTGGCCTAACGTTGATGTAGGCTCCAGACCTGTTCAGGTTTTTCCTAGGGTGACGTGCAGGTAAAGCTTACCTGGGTCCGGCAAAGGTTTTTGCAGCGGGTCGTCGGTGGACATGATGAATCTATGTCCGCTCTTCAGGAGCTGGCTGCCGTTGGGATCCCCTCGTGCAAATGGGCCGTAGCCGTCGCCAGACTCTGTCCGGTCTTTGGAGGACTCCGGCATGTCCATGAGCTTGGCCTTGGTACCTCTCTCACGCTCCTCTATGACCAACCAATGGAACTCTAGTTCCAACTGCTTCTTGTCGTCGGAGATTTGTACAGGGCGCAGCGCGAACGCACCTTGAGTGTGGAAGGTGTGGAGGGTGGAGGTCAGTGAGATCATGTTTGCGACAGTCTCTTTGCCTCTGAAGTTCGCATTGTCGTCGACAAAGATCTGGTCGCGCCATGCGTCTACGTCTGCCTTCTTCCAGAAGATTCTCATGGTAGCCCAAAACAGCTTTACTCGCTCGGGGCGCTTTTCTCTAAATGCGCTCCATGGATAAATGTGGGCCTAAAGATGGGTGTACGAAGTCAGTTGTTGTCTCACATACAATTCGTACGGGAATTTCACTAACCGCTTCTGCACCCTTTGTCCTTGATACGGCACAAAGGTTGCCGTCTCGATCTTTACAGCGAGCTGCGACAACCGCTGATCTTCCAAGGCTGGCCTCTTGGCCGCCCTCACTTCGTCCTGATCTTGTCCGCGATGCTTTGCCGGAGGCGGTAGGGGGGCGGGAGACGGGTACGCTGGCGTTGGAGGATGCGACGTCGTTATTTGCCCCTGGCTTTTGTTGCCAGAGCCTTATGGCATCCATAGCAGCGTTCGTGCGCACAACATCGGTCTCTGCATTCCAAAAAGCATCTTCCGCCGCCAACAACTCCACAAAGTCTAGTCTGGCGAACTGGAAGAACGCCCAAAGCACGCGATCGATTTCGATAGAGCTGCGCTCGGCTTCAATCTTGTCAAAGGCTGCTTGCCGTTCTTTTGACCGCATACCGAAACGCTCTTCGTCGCTCTCCGGTCTGACGCTCGTCCATCCGATGTAGGTGGCGTCCATGGTAATTTGTATAATGATCTTTAAAAAAAAAAGCGGACTTGACTGTGCTGTGCAGAAAAGCTTGCGTCCTAAAAGTCGGACCAAAAAGGTTAGCACAGTCAGGTAGTAGGTACAAAAGTAGTTCCTACCATGGTAGCTCAGTTCATGGAGGTGATGATAGGAAAGCGTCTGGCCGGAAATGCGAACCGCGGTAGCAGATCAGGCCACTAGCGGACGTGTCGACGGCCCGTCGCATTGTTCCTGTTCGTAGAGTGTTGTTATGGTTGTAGACAGGTGAGTGCACGACGGGACGGCTAGGGAAGTCATGCAATGACGCCATGACGCCATTGCCCGAAAGGTAGCCGCCCCTGGTACCTAGGTAGTAGCAACGATGCGCAGACACACTAGAACTCAACCGCGAGCGTACGTAAGACAGTGTATCTTCTATGCGCTTTATCAAGGTAATCCGCAAAATTCTAATATACCAGTTCTATACAAAAGCCCGCCCAGAAAGGCTCGCTCATTCCACATCCTGGGCATGCTATCCGCATTTATGGTCGTCGTCGTTATCGAAGGCTTCGTCGCGCCAGTCAGCCGCGAGTCTAAATCGCGAGAATACGCTGCAGGTGCAGTTGGAAAGCACATCCTGAAGCCTACATCGACCGTAGGTAATCAAAACTACACGTTTCTATGTTGATGTAGTTTGCAAACGTGTTTGGTTTTCTTCTCGTGTCAGGTGTGTATTTGTGCAGTGCTTGAGTAGCCAATGTTCTTATACTCATTTGGAAAAAGGTCATTGACCGAAAAGCCGCATGCTATGCTACCGCCGTCGCTAAGTTGTGGACAGCTGTTCTTGCTGTACAGAACTAGGCCACGAGCCTTTTAGAATAGAAAGACGTCATCGAGTATACTGGAAGGTCCTTGTTCATACAGCCGAAGAGAAACAGGTCTTCTGCGTGCCAATGTACGCCAAAGTATCTCCACTGAAGTAGATGAAGAGCCGTCTCTTTGTAATCGCAGTTCCTGAACGCCTGACCGATCATCGCGTGTTCGTGGCGACCGTCACCTTCGCTTCTCACAACTACCATCATGGGGCTTCCGTCGCTCAGAAATCCTTCTTCACTGAAGAGCACCCAGTCGGACGGTCTTGTTTCTGCTGGTGCATATGCAAACACGCGTTGCATGTGATCCAATATTTCTACACACACAATCTCCGAGTTGGATCCGCGTATCGTTGACTGCGCTGAACAATACAAGGAGCGGAGTGATATGCCACCCGGTGTTGGGAGCTTCTTTCCGATACTAGTACTGCCAAGTAACTGAACCCCACGCCACATATCTCTTGGATGGATAATACAGTCTCGATACCACGTTGTGCGTTCATGGTCCAGCGCTGAACCCGGAAGGTGTACCAAATGATGACTTAGGGAGGGACTGGAATATCCAATAGGCTTGGGGTCAAAACCTGTGTTGTCCATGGACGAAAAGTTGTTCGGCATGATCTGAATACCAAAACGCTTGGTGATCGCTAGTTGTATTGCTTGATCCTCAATATTGACTTGGAAAAGATTCCATAGCCGACGAGGCCACTCAACAGCCACTCCGGAAACTGGCTCGGTTCCGAGATTTTGGAGATATAATTGTAGTACCTCAATGGCGACTTGGTAGTTGTCCTTGCTGTAATCTGGTACAGGGGGTTCGCCACTCCCCCACTCAATTAGAGCCTGAACACCGAACAGTCTATCCCGAACGTCCGCGCACTGGAAGCTCTGCATGGCGTCCAGTACCTCTGCCAACCGGCGGCGTCCTCGCACACCGGAAGCAAAGGTGAGACAGCCGCGTTGAGGTCCTATTTTGTGGAAGCTTTGTTGCAATGTCAAGCATGAGTTTCTTCGGCACGAGAACCACGGTAGCAGGGAACATTTGTCTGTGATCTCTGAGTCCTCATTACTTACGTAGTCTTCCTGGTGGGGATTGCTGATCCAGAAATCTATGAGGATACTCACAGTCAGGAGGTCGGCGAACGAATATCTGTCCATGCCACAGCAAAGCGTTGCATTTCGAGCCAGATAGAGTTCTTGCAAAATCCAGACTCTCGAAAAATATGGACGGTTCATGAAATCGATAAAAACAGTAGCTAGAGCTTCCCTCCCATGAGGACTGAAGTCCCCAATCTTTGAGATCAACGACCGGTCGCTCTTCCGGATAGGATTGGGCATCACCCAGTAGCTTTCTTTTCTTGTGGTAAGCTTAAGGATGGATTGGTTAATCCTGGCCAGAAGGGTTTTATTCTCATCCATAGTGCGAAACAAAGATATGCTATCGTCCGTGTGAGCCCCGACACATGCGAAGACGTGTTTCGATCTTCCGTATATCTGACCCATCATTCCAACTTGGTGACTCTTTTCTTGCATAGCATCTTGATCAATGCAAAGAGCATCCATCCAGAAGTATCGTCTCTCGTCGGAAGAATGGGACGAATGCGCCTGTTCGAGTGCATAGACACAGTTTTGGCCGACAGTGAAAATGCCCCCGTTGATGGAGATGTGACGGCTTGGGGTTGGTGATCCCCAAGTATAGCTGAGACAGTGACGTATTAGTATCAAGCACGAACCCGATTTGCTTGCGGGGACGTACGATATAGCATAGTAATCAGGAGCCACTGCAATGGGCCATGCGGTCAGAAGGCAAATTAAGTGACCATCGGAATCGATAGTTTCAATCTCCAACAAGCGTATGTATGCACTCGAATTGGGGAGAGGTTCGTGCTTGTAGCTTGCAGTCGACGGTCCGGCTCTCATGGTATCCAAGTCGTATAGGATATGAGGAATGTAATGGTGAGCGGATGGACACTGAATCTGGCCGCTTCAAAATCGCCTTTGTTCGCGTTGCGAGTGAGCATCAGGCGTGGTCAAGAACCAGGAAGTTCAGCCTGATGGGCTTGGCGTTGCTGCGCCGTGCTGCGCAGCCTGCGGAAGGTACCTACAGATCCCGCGCCAGCAGATTAGGCCACCATCGCGTGTAATCCACTGAACGAGACATATCTCCGCATAGAACCCACGAGATATGTGTTGAGGGCTTGTCGCGTCAGTACTGTCAGTTGAGCGCTGTTGTGGTGGTGCACAGGCGTGTTGGGCAAAAGGCCGACAAGGTGAGTAGGTTCGTAGAAGGCACGCGATGACGCTACCATCTAAGGACGCAACAACGGTCCGCGGACCACGTTGGCG